TCTTGGCAGCTCCCAATCCAACTAAGCGTTTTCTTGTTCACACAGACGCTTCTATGTTTGGATTGGGAGCAGTACTGAGCCAAGTCGGAGCCGATGGCGGAGAACACCCCGTGGCTTACATCAGTCGCAAGCTGTTACCCAGAGAAGTAAGCTACGCCGCCATCGAGAAGGAATGCCTGGCTGTGGTGTGGGCCTTAAAGAAACTACAGCCGTATCTATATGGACAGCCTTTTTCGTTACTCACGGATCACAACCCGTTGGTCTGGCTAAACCGGGTGGCTGGGGACAATGCCAGGCTGCTGCGCTGGAGTTTGGCGCTGCAGCCTTTTGACTTTAATATTCAGTACCGCCCGGGTAAACAGAATGGGAATGCCGACGGGTTGTCAAGACAAACTGACCTGGAGAAATGATCCGTGAGTCCCCGGACATCCCCAAGCCGATCCGTGTTGGATCAGACTGTGTATGCCGGCTTGTGGGCAAGGGGGAGCAGTGTAGCAGATGGCACTGGGCTGTCCTACAAATGTCTGTGAAAGAAATGCATTCGTGTGATCTGTTAGTTTCCTATGTGTTCTAAAGCCTTGTATTCTTGTGATTGTTCGGTAGTTTCGTTCCCTTAGTTTATTCGAATGAAACTACCGAACAACCAGACCTCCCCTGTGTGAAGTGTGTCCTCAATTACCCGTTGCAACATTGTTGCGAACGGGTAATTGAACAGTAAGTAGCCGTCCTTTGTTCTCGGGGGTGGCCGCCATTCGACAAACGAACACGTGGCGGCGGCCATTTTAAAACTCCCGAACAGCGGTGTTTAGCCGTCGATTGTCTGGAACTAAAATCGGACACTCGAGTAGGCGAACACCGCTGAGACCTCCACAGCCCTGGTCCGTTCGGTTCCAAACTACCGAACGGCCCCTCGTTCGGTAGATAGAGAATACCGAACGAGGGGATTCAGGCGAACCCTCCCTAGCCTCTATAGCTAGAGGTTTTCGTGTATTTTATTCCCTTATGCCAGGACCGACCGCAGGGCCCATTCACATGGAACCGAATTCGGCTATCTCAGTTCGTGCGGTCGGTCATTTTATTCCCTCCATACTTTTCCCGAACCCCTGGTCTGATCTGGGTGGTTTTTGGATATGTTGTTCACCCAGATCAGGGCTACCAGGGGATGTAGGATTTAAAGAGGTACCCCTACGTTTAGGGGTACATCCAGAAACGGGGGGAATTGGTGTACTGGATAAGGGGATTATGATGCTGGCTGAGGGGAGGAGATGTGTGGGAGGTTACCAGGACAGGATTGGCTACTGTAATAATTACTGTAATCCCTCCCTTGCATGGGAGCATGCTTTATAAGGAGACTGTGATTAAAGGCTTGAGAGTTCTGCTCCTGAAACTGTGTGTCGTCCAGTTATTGGGATTGCTGTGGGGAGGTTGCTGTTATTTTACCTGCTGGAAACTTTGCCTATGGATTTATTATTTACTTGTTCCTGAGCCTCACTTGGATTATAAGCGGAGACAACCTGGGGAATATTGCATCTCCGCTACAAAGATCATTATTAAAATTGATGATTGAAAACCAGACAGCCTCCTTATTTTTCAGACAGAAAGCTGAAGATCAGTGATAGCAGACACATTTGTATCCAGTTTGCGTTTTAAACACTTGACTCTCTACATAAAGTGGGAATATAATGGAATATATGGCAGCATTGGGAGGAAGGGATGTCTGCTCACTTACTCCCAGCATTTCAAAAGGAGCCACGCAGATTGAGAACAGCCCAGCACACAATGTAGGCATGGGAGGGTGGCTAAAACCTCTTAAATTTGTGTGTGCATGATTGTCAGCATGTGTTTATGTATATCTGGCAATTTGTATGTGTGTGATTGGGATCTGTGTCTTTGTCCAACTCCACAGATTGTAAGGGGTTCCGATGGCAGTCCTGGTGATAACCATTACTTGTTTCCTCATAAACGTGGAGATAGCTGGCACCTCGATGGACTCCTTCCTGTAGATATGGATGTTCAAGTTTTAAAAAAAAAATTATTTGCAGATATGTAAAATAATTAACTTTCAACCACCGAAATGCCTCCAGGAGGACTTTTATTACAAAATACCACTCATGTATGCATACCATAATAGTAAGATATTGATTTTAATAAAACACCAGGACCAAACTAACCGACAGAGAAGGTGTCACAGTTTTAAAAACAGAACACAGACAATGTTTACATACATGTGTTTGTAAATCAGTTCAAGCTTTGGTTTCAGTTTTAATTGGTTCCATTTGATTCCCTCAACAAGTCAAAGTTCTCGATGGATTTCCCGAGACACTTGGTCAATGAATGAGGGGTAGAAAATGATTTAAGGTTGGTGACTTTTTTTTTTTTTCTTCATTCTTAACCTCAGCATCTTCCGCAAGCCTCCTGTTGGCTCAGTTCCTGAGAGTTGTATTTCAACAAAATCTGAGGATGGGGGATTTGGTTTGTACGAACATGTAATTTGTAGGGTTGAGTCCCGACCCGATTTTCAAATTGTACAGAATTAAAACAGTCATCCATGTCATTTTTTTTTTTTTTTTTTACTGCTAGGTAATCTCTGGACATTTAAATATAATTTCAAACATCAGGCAAAACCCACAATTCTGAGAAAACAATGTGAATTGAAATCTAGCAAATGCCATAGATCCCCATCCTAAGTAATTTTCTCAGTATAGTGCACAGTGAAGGGACATAATGCAAAGGACAGTGGTTGAAAGTCATGGACCACTTAGTGGTGGTATTTCAGGTTAATTACAAATCACAGTACCTGGGCCAAGTAACTGAGTTCTTGAAACTGTGAGAGCCTTTACCCACGAGGACTGAGAGATGACATGTATAAGGGGGTTAAATCCAAAATTGATATACTACACTGTTATAGCCAGATTATGTACTTTACAACAGATCTGATAATATTGTGTGAACAATGTGAAGTCCAATCAGCCAAGTTTGACGCCTGGTGATGGCTTATTGAATTCTAACCACTTGTGATCAATTCGCAATAGATCTTTCAATGTGAATGTAGGGGGTAAAGAGAAAACCAAAGTCGCTTTAGTCCTAAAATAAACAGTCTGAGAATATCGTGGGCCACCTCCTGAATTTTTACATTATTCACAAATAAAATAATTTACAGAGATAAATATATATATCTTGTGTTAGTTAAGGAAAAATACTGGGATATTGAATTGATTCATTAATTTGAAGGGATGTCAATACATTGCAATTTTATAAGGAACAGAGTTCAGAAGACAGAGTTGGAATTAATTTTCTTTCCAAATATTTTAATCAAATCATTCTTTTAAGTCTGAGTGGTTTGTTATTTTAATTTGTATTATATTGAAAAACTCTCATATGTGCTACAATTTATTATTTATTAATTATTTTTTCTTATGGCATTCCAGATGGAAGTAATTAATTTAATCAGCCATAAACGATAATCCCAGTAACAGCCCCTGATGATTAATTAAATCAAATCTGTCTGTGATTGCACTAAGGGGGTAAAACACTTGTACAGAAATTCTTTTCAGGTGGTATAAATTTATCGACTTTTAGCCTGCACCTGAACGAATCTATCCATCCAGGACTTACCGGTGGAGTCTGACGTATCAATTAAAAGGCATTTGATTCTGAAAAGAATCTGTGCACAAGTCTAGCAGACAATAGATCATGGATGCAGGTGCAGTGAAAAGCACTGGTTTCAATCACACAGTATTACTATATACTAAAATGGAACTGCATAGAAGGAAACCGAATTGTGGAGGACAGGCCGTGGAATGCTGAATTTCAATTATTTATATAAAATAAAAAATTAAATTAAAAAATTAAAAATGCAGCTACTCAATAAAATTCTTCAGTATTTATTAGACCTGTGCATAGCATAGAACGAATCGATTTGTTCATCAAAACATGAACTAATCAATTGTTTTGTATAGCGATTAACAGGTATTTGATTTGTGCACAAGTCTATTATTTATAATTTAGCATGTGAAAATAAAAGTTAGTTCTAAAACATCCATATGTCCGTCTCTCCTTGCTTTAAAGTGATTCTTTTGGAATGTATGTTTTTAATTTGTAATGTTTCTGCTAGTTAAGAACTGGACACGCGATCCATCGTTAATAACAAAATAAAGATTCTCATCAGAAGATACGGTGTCCACAATCCCACCTTCTGCTAACTAAACCTTCCATTTTGGGGTTAGATTATCAGACAAGGTTATTTAATTTTCCTTGCAGTGAGAAGAGAACTGAATTGATTCATACACCAAGCGAGTCTGCTTAGACGACCAAATATGTACAATAACCAAGGTCCAGTGTTTAAACATTTGGAATAAAGAACCCCCCCTCAAACCACCCAAAAGGGGTCACATGTCAGCAGCTAATTTAGAATGGATTTTGTGCAAAACGTTTCTGTACGTTTTAATCCTTTGACGGGAAGGAGAGAGCTTAATAAATGGTTTACCAATAATCAACAGTCTCTATAAGCCAACAGAAATCCTTCAAAAGTGTGAAAAGTGCAAATATATATTTTTAAGGAGGAAAATGCATAAACCCTCCTTTAGAGCCAGGATTTTCACGTAAACCTATCCTCCAATTCATGCCTTCCCTCGGATGTTAAACCTTTGTTGTGGTATTAAACTATAAACGTGTACATGTGGATTGTTTAAACTTGGACATTGACAGATTTATAAGATAAGAAAAATAAAATAGCTGATCTGCCTGGCGTCTTCCAGTTTATCCAGAGACCATTTATTCAAGGCAGGAGACAGAGAAATGTCTGATTTCCAACTACAGAAACACCCTGTCTTTTTAACAGTCTCAGGTTATAAGAAACCTTGTAACAGGTTGGGTTATAGTTCTTCTCAAAGATTGATGGTGTTTCCAGTTTCCACCTAAAATTTCCTCCACTGGATTCAATGTATTCTTTTTTTTAATTCGTAGAACAAGTCTAACGAGGGATAGATTGATATGGGTTGCTATGGAGTTTTGTGAGAGGGACTGTGCGAGGAGTCATCAAACAGAGGATTCTTCACTTCCATTTCTCCAGTCTGCAGATTTTAAAAGAAAACAAATAGCGGTGAGATGTTTAATCGGACATTTAATATTGCTGTTTATACAGTGCAATATGAGAGAAGGGGAGAGAGAGAGATAAGGAGCGAGAGAGAAAGAGGAGGAGAGAGAGAGAAAGGTGTGTGTGTGATTTTTTTTACATATAAATAAGGTTTTATGTAGCTCTATAGTTATCATTCAGATAATGACAGGAATTATTCACTAACAAGTCAACTGAAGTCAAATTAGAAAAAGTTGTCTGAAATAGAAAGGCTTGAAAAATTCTACAACTTCACTACAATTTTAGTCTTATTTAGCAATATGGCTTTAAATTCACAATAATTCTCCATTTAATGAATAAATCTTAAAGTGATCTATGCACGAGATTTTGTGACCTTGGAAAGCAATTATATTTACAGAACATGTGCCCATTCTGATACTTCCAACGTGAAATAATTTATTGTTAAAAGAACACTACTAACCCCATCCTTACCTAGAACGAATCCTGATTTTAGTGCATCAGGGACGCAGTAAAACAAGGTTTTATGTACAATGTATATATTACAAGCATATCATCAATAGACAGGGGAGGGAGCAGATAAATCACCCCAAACCCTCTTTAAAACAGAAACAAAGGGAAGTATTCATTCTGAACCTATGAGCTTGCACTCAGCTCTAGCGGCAGTGATCACAGACAGCAGCTATAATACTAACCGGGGCTAAACCGGGACATTCATATACTGTGAAATCACCATCTTCGTTTTCTTCATCCGACGTCATAGCAGAATCCGTGTGTTTAGGTTCATCTTTATTCCTAATAGTTTAGAATAAACAATATTATTTATGTCTCCTAGGCAAGTCAGCGTCTGTTAACTTTAAACCACAAATAAAACACATTTTCATTTTATGGGTTTAAAAGGAAAGAAAGATACTTAAATGTTTTATCTGCTTTCCTACCAAACACCCCAGATTCCCCTAATTGCTGTAAAGAATTTAATGGGACAGGTAATCACTGACTCCCAAGAACTTCCTCGCCTGCAAACATCAAAGCCAATTAAGACCCCTGCAAGCAGGGATCGGTCATTCAATGCAGCGAATACAGAGTCTGGCACTGATGTATTCAGGTATAGACACAGGTGATGGCACGGGTTGGGGAAGGAAGAAAAATGGTAGAAATGGATAACATGGAACATCTAGGGGACACTTCATATAGGGACAGATAGAGCCGACTATACCGGATAGGGAGGGATAGAGCCGACTATACCGGATAGGGAGGGATAGAGCCGACTATACCGGATAGGGAGGGATAGAGCCGACTATACCGGATAGGGAGGGATAGAGCCGACTATACCGGATAGGGAGGGATAGAGCCGACTATACCGGATAGGGAGGGATAGAGCCGACTATACCGGATAGGGAGGGATAGAGCCGACTATACCGGATAGGGACGGATAGAGCCGACTATACCGGATAGGGACGGATAGAGCCGACTATACCGGATAGGGACGGATAGAGCCGACTATACCGGATAGGGACGGATAGAGCCGACTATACCGGATAGGGACGGATAGAGCCGACTATACCGGATAGGGACGGATAGAGCCGACTATACCGGATAGGGACGGATAGAGCCGACTATACCGGATAGGGACGGATAGAGCCGACTATACCGGATAGGGACGATAGGGAGGGATAGAGCCGACTATACCGGATAGGGAGGGATAGAGCCGACTATACCGGATAGGGAGGGACAGAGCCGACTATACCGGATAGGGAGGGACAGAGCCGACTATACCGGATAGGGAGGGACAGAGCCGACTATACCGGATAGGGACGGATAGAGCCGACTATACCGGATAGGGACGGATAGAGCCGACTATACCGGATAGGGACGGATAGAGCAGACTATACCGGATAGGGACGGATAGAGCAGACTATAGTACAGAATATATTATAATTAAACTATAACTGTCAAGAATAGATGCAGTACTTACTTTTCCATCGATAACATTTGTTGCTTCTGGTGCTGGTAATGATACATCTGAGCATTTTGAGCTAATTTCTTATCTCCTGGCTACAAACAAAAAACATAGAAAAAAAACATATTTGTATAAATAAAAATTGATACCACCATTATTGTGTTCAGCAAAGTGGGAAAAGAAAATATGGAGGGCGCAAGGTGAGAGAACAGCGAGGGCTTGGATTTTGGAGAAGATTTTACTGTGAAAGGCACATACGGCTTTAAATAATATAATAATAAGTGACTAACATGATGCAGTGTCATATGGTATCCAAATATAGACAACCGGCCCGGTGACAGTATAGCATACATAGAGACTCAGCCCCTTCTAGGTGACAGTGCAACATACAGACATAGACACTCACCCCATGCCAGGTAAACGTATAACATACAGACAGAGACACTCACCCCATGCCAGGTAAACGTGTAACATACAGACAGAGACATTCACCCCATGCCAGGTAAACGTGTAACATACAGACAGAGACACTCACCCCATGCCAGGTAAAAGTGTAACATACAGACAGAGACACTCACCCCATGCCAGGTAAAAGTGTATCATACAGACAGAGACACTCACCCCATGCCAGGTAAAAGTGTAACATACAGACAGAGACACTCACCCCATGCCAGGTAAAAGTGTAACATACAGACAGAGACACTCACCCCATGCCAGGTAAACGTGTAACATACAGACAGAGACACTCACCCCATGCCAGGTAAAAGTGTAACATACAGACAGAGACACTCACCCCATGCCAGGTAAACGTGTAACATACAGACAGAGACACTCACCCCATGCCAGGTAAAAGTGTAACATACAGACAGAGACACCCAGCCAAGTGACAGTGTAACATACAGACAGAGACACCCAGCCAGGTGACAGTGTAACATACAGACAGAGACACCCAGCCCAGTGACAATGTAACATACAGACAGAGACACCCAGCCAAGTGACAGTGTAACATACAGACAGAGACACCCAGCCAAGTGACAGTGTAACATACAGACAGAGACACCCAGCCAGGTGACAGTGTAACATACAGACAGAGACACCCAGCCAGGTGACAGTGTAACATACAGAGACACCCAGCCAACTTACAGTGTAACATACAGAGACACCCAGCCAAGTGACAATGTAACATACAGACAGAGACACCCAGCCAAGTGACAGTGTAACATACAGAGACACCCAGCCAAGTGACAGTGTAACATACAGACAGAGACACCCAGCCAAGTGACAGTGTAACATACAGACAGAGACACCCAGCCAAGTGACAGTGTAACATACAGACAGAGACACCCAGCCAAGTGACAGTGTAACATACAGAGACACCCAGCCAACTGACAGTGTAACATACAGACAGACATCCAGCCCAGTGACAGTATAATATACAGAGACACCCAGCCAACTGACAGTGTAACATACAGACAGACATCCAGCCCAGTGACAGTATAATATACAGACAGAGACACCAAGCCCAGTGACAGTGCAACATACAGACGGACATCCAGCCCAGTGACAGTGTAACATACAGACAGAGACACCCAGTCCAGTGACAGTATAATATACAGACAGAGACACCAATCCCAGTGACTGTGTAGCATACATAGACACCCAGCCCAATGGCAGTGTAGCATACATAGACACCCAGCCCAGTGACAGTGTAACATACAGACAGAGACAAACAGCCCAGTGACAGTGTAACATATAGACGGACATCCAGCCCAGTGACAGTGTAGAATACAGACAGAGACACCCAGTCCAGTGACACTATACTATACAGACAGAGACACCCAGCCCAGTGACAATGTAACATACAGACAGAGACAAACAGCCCAGTGATAGTGTAACATACAGACAGACACCCAGTCCCAGCGAAATCTCTGAAACAGGTGTGAGACCAGGCCCTGGCTTACCGAAGTCTTCTCATAGGGTGGAGGGGGCGATGCTTTGAACGCTGGGTAATCGGTCTTCTCAGCCAGCTTCATCTCCCTTCGCATCCTGTGTGATAAGAGCAATCACCATATTTGATACGCTGGAGACATACATATTACATATTTCATAAATCCAAGAACTGCTATGATGGTACTGACACTGTCCCTCCAGCATGTTATGTGTCACATATCAAATATGTGTATAAACAATTACTTGCGTAACTTGATATACAATCTACTTTGTTGCTGTTGTAATAAGGGAGCTATGCTTAGTGTGTGCTTGTATACTGGTGTACATTTTACATATTTTCCTATATATTGATCATTTCATTATCTGTGTACACAGTTTATTTATGTGCACAGGTTTCGATGACAATGTGTAAGGTACGTGTACAGTGTTTGTATGCAGCGGTTGTTTCGCTGCCATTTACAAGAAACACTGACCTTGCAAAGTAACACAAGAAGGAATACAATGTTAAAATATAGGAGATGAGTCTTGTTTAGCATTACCTGTACCAGCAAATTCCAGCCACCATCAACGCCATCAGTCCAGAGATAGCGCACGCAATGACAACACCTGGCAAGTTGCAGAGATAACAATCAGAAATTTATTATTAGTTATTAGTTTCTGTTACATTTTATTTTTTTTACATTTTCAGTAAATATACACAAAAAATAATAATATACATTATATCAGATTTGGGGATTTTCGTTTCTTCTAACCAAATGATAGTAAATTTATATTATTACAGTTAAACCAACAGACAAAATAGGCTGTGCTTTTCACATTTAAAACTTGACAAACTCCCCCATTTCCCCCCCACCAACACATTTAAACCTCAAATGTACGTAAGAACAATATACCTAGCAGCAGGGTATCATTCAGGGGTGCTTTGCGCCTATTTTCGGGGACCAATGTGGCACCGGGATGTCTTCTGTCCTTTACCGATGGCATTACGTCAGGGGGAGGCGGTGAGTTTGTAGTGTTAACTGCAAGAATAATTAAGACTTGATTGGTTTACCGTTTACATAGTTTTAATAAGACTGGTTCAAATACTAAACTTTAGATTTTTATCTTCACACCCTAAGTCTGTTCTGTGTTTGCCAAGTACGTACCTCCATCAGCCAGCTGAAGTTTATTGGGATCCTGGTTTGCAATCATGGAAGCTAAATAGTCAATTTCTGCTTCTATATTCGGAATAGTGTTTTTCCCTGCAAAGACAATTAGAAAGAAAAATTGTAAATTAAATGGAAGTTTAAATTTGCTCATGCACATAACACACAGGGTTTATTACACAAACATCAAACTTAAGTGACGTTTAATTTAAAAAAAAAAATAATAATTTTTTAAAAACATTGAGGTAAAAAATGGCAATTAAAAGAATACAATAATCTACAATGCGGTTATTTCGCTCAAAATGTAGCACTTTGATTTTTCAACTCGCTCCAATTCGCTTTTTAGTGGATAGCCCCAAGGAATATAAGCTTGACAAATTGGAGTGTCTCTCAAGGTAAAAGTTGCGAAAATATAGATGCCTATCTGTCCTAGAGCTCCAACTCCCATGATGCTTTGCAAGACATATGGCTGACAAAGCATCGTAGCAAATTGGACGGTTTCCAATTGGTATTTGGGTCCATTCTTTTTTTTTTTTTTTTTTTTGGTCGAATTAGACACTTTCAAGCATAATATATGTTTTACCATTGATTACATTCATATAAATAAGATAAATTATTATTATTAGGAAAAAGGCATATCTGAAAATTGTCACTTTCTTCCAGCATCCGATACTACAGGAGCCCGGTCGTGCTCTTAAACGGCAGCGATACCTGACTGGGTCCCTGTTCAGCAATACCCATCGGGTGGTTCTAAGTGCTTGGGCCACCCGATGGGCAAATTGCGTTGAAACCCCAGTTTTGTTCTCACGGAAACTAAAGTTCCACATAACACCGATTGGGAAACGCTGCTCTAGTATAAAAATATAGTAAATATGTTTAGAAACCTCTCTTCATCTTTTGTTTAGATCCATTTAATATAGGATTTTAAAGAATGTAAAGATAAATTAGAGTCTCTGATGTTTCAGCAATATGGGATGCCAAGAGATTTACATTCTATGCCACGCTGTGCCTTGACAGTCTAGTGTAAGATAGAAGCCATAATTAAAATAAACAAGGGTAAAACAAAAAATAGGACACACACATAGAAAATAAACCCACAGCTATTTGTGAAGTCTGGAATGTTAAAAAAATGTACAAGATAGTCCCTCTTTAAATATAGCATTTTTATTTGTTTCCATTTTTTCCTCCTTTTTAAGTGGAAATTTAATAAGCACCACACGTATATCAGACAGAGAAATAAAAACTACAGATAGACTCACATTCACATTGACAACTGTTAACGCATTTCGTTGTAAATTAAATATTGGCGATTGTTTACATATCACATTCAGGACAGACTGTTTAATAATATTAAAGTGATCTATAGTTAAATTTGTATCGTGAACCTAATGTCTTTAACGTGAAGTTAATTTACAGCCAAATCAATAGCAATTCTGTGTCTTTCTCTTAAGCTTAACGTGTGACTGTCCTTTTTACTAAAGATAGAACTGTTGGCTAATACAAATGAATCTGAAAATGTAAATAAGATTAGCCAAGCTAGAAACAAAATGTTGTTTTCAGTTTGGCTACCATAAATTTGAAATTCAAATTCAATATGAATTCTAACTTTAGGAAAAAGTACCCGGTGCCCGTGAAGCTCCGGGCATGCTGATGCCCACTCAGGCGTCTTCAGAGGACAGAGCGCAGCCACATTCAGACTGACACTGTATCCCAAAGTGTTAGATTTTGCCCCCATGGAAGTAACTCCATTTGTAAGATATGCTCTGGTTAGATCAGGGCAGCCCACGTACAATGTGCATTACATTTTTTTATTTATTAATATTTAAAAATTAAAATACTGAAACACAAGCTAAATTTTAGCTAGCTTTAACAAGTAGCACAAAAATCAGGCGTAACAATTCCAGTTTAACAGTTTTAATCCCCTTTTCTCATATAAACTGTATCCTTCATAATACACGTGATGTCATGATTTTATTCCAAAAATACAACAGCGCCACCTATGCTTAACCATCAAATTACAATGTTGTTTTTGCTTGTTTTAAAGGGCGACTCTGGGCACCATAAGATCTTATACCTGAAGGGGTTAAACCGTTAACTGTTTAGCCCGTAAGTCTGCAATCTTCCGACCGCTCTGCCCTGCATTTCAATGTTTGGGGCTTCAAACAGGAAGCCTCAGACCGGGCACCACTAACAGGCTGAGAGCATCATCCGAGACACTCGGCCTATAACTAGCTCCCATTGAGAAAAGTGAGTGAAAAAGGCAAGATGATGCCTTGGACCTCCTCGCACCATTACAATGAAGTTGTTATGGTACCCACAGTGGCCCTTTAAATGAGAGCTCCCTTTATATGCCATAAAGCTCTGGGATTTTTTTCAAAACAATCTTCATTTTTGAATTTTCTTTTGTAGTTTCTTCTTTTAATGTTAGAGCTATTTTTATGGCTGTCATTCGGATGGGTTTTAAACATAGGTAAGTTGCCTACCCCATAGACACCATGTACCCAAGACATGTTGATGATTAAAGTACGTTTACAGAATCACAGTCACAAACCAACATCTCAATACATCAAGCTACAGTATAATATAATGTCAGCCTCGCTTTGCATTGTTTAACCCTTTATTACACCAACATACCACTCATTTAGCAACAACAGGGCTATATACAAGCTAATTAAACTGGACTTTTCAGCAACCAGATTGAGAGCCCAGCATGATGTCCAACAGGGCTTTAACCCCTTAAGGACACATGACATGTGTGACATGTCATGATTCCCTTTTATTCCAGAAGTTTGGTCCTTAAGGGGTTAAAGGAGAAAAATCAAATGGTGAAACAGGGGGTCACAATACCAGCCCCTCAGAATGGTGGATTAAGAATATAGCGGAACACCAGCAGGAGAGAGGTACAAAGGCATAATGATACGACGACTGAGCCGGTATAGCAATATAGCCAATGTGCATGAAAAACACGTCTTAAAAAAACAAGACAATTTATGGACATTAACCATTTCATTGAACAGCAAGCCACGAGCATTAAGCTGTAATCAGACTAGCCTGATTTTCATTGTCATGAAGGGGTTAAACAAGTACCCATATTCCCATCGTAGTCTCTGTAAAGAGTATACATCCGGGATTCTGAATTAGATTCAATAACATGTGTAATTAAACCCAGAGGGTCTGTAGCGTTTGCAAAGTCCACCCGAGTGGTAGGTCCCTTACCTTTGTGGTGTCTGTAGACGTGTTCCTTATAGTGCACAGGATAACCCAATCCTACCGACCACAAGACGCACACACACTTTGTAAACGCAATAAGGCTGGTTTTCATTGTCTCGAAGGGACGTGGAAGATTGGCGAATAACTTAAGGCAGAGGCTGCGAGTGTTGTCACAGGGATAAGGCACGGAAGCACTGCAGCACAGACCTTCTCGCTCTGAGCACAGAGCTGTGTGTGTGGGCTGAAGGGATTCCTCTCCCCACGCACTGCAACCCGGCAGCAGCCAATTAAAGGACAGCCAGGTAGGGGAGCATCTCATGGAGGAGAACAAAACGTGCATCGTCCTTTAACGGCGAGTTCTGACGGAGATCTTTCATTAAGTTTGCATTTTTTAGCAGAGTGCAGAGGGTAGAGGAAACAATTTAACACTTTAGGATCGCAGACTTGGCATTTCTCACCAGTCTTGCACACAAAGGGTTAAGAACACTCATCCCCATTAATATAATCTTGTCAATGATTGCTTTATAGCTTCTCTGTTATAAACAGCAGCCAAAATGCTGGAGGCTTATAAATAAAGAATCAGGAGGCTGGCCGGGCAATATAGCCAATTCTAAAGAGGAGATCTGCATAAGGAACGCATCAGTCATAACAAATCCACGAATCATTGTTTAGATTGTAAGCTCATGGGTCAGTGCACCCAGTCAGGGTCATTTAGCAAATTAAATCTCAACAGCAAAACTGAGGCTATCAGAAAATTTGGAAGCTATACTCAACTATACTCACAGCTTAGCTGTGTTAGCCTCAGTCTTGTCATTCAGATAGAATTTGAAATACCCCTGTGTGTACAATTGTAATGCATGCTAGATTTCAGGCTGACCACAGGCATCTCTATAGCTTTTGTTGTAATCTGTGCTTTATTGTGCTGTCTTTAATCATTACAATTTGTTACAAAGATACATTATTGTACAGCGCTGCAGAAAATGTTGGAGCCATATCTTGACAAATACACTTCAAACACATAATGTGTAAGTATATTTTAAATCTGATTCACCTGCACTGCAAAGCATTAACTCCATGTCACCAAAATAATACAAAATATTCCCTTTAATCAAAAGGTTTGCCAACCCCATCCTTGCATCTTTATGGTATATTTCAGCAATATGGTTTTGGTTTTTGTTTATTAAAGAGCCTTTCTCTAAAGCAGGAGTGAAGAAAAGATAGATTCTAGATGTTGTAAATGTATAACTAAGCATCATGGGAGTTGTAGTTAATTTAAAATAATAATAAAGCAATCGATTTAACCTACTAGAGCACAGACAACCGTAAGTATCAGCAGTGTGAGATATCTGTCCGTATTTTCATCAGTAAAAATACAGCATTGAAATAAAAGGATAAAATAAATATTATTTCTCTGGAATACGTTCTCCAACATAGGCTGTAGCGCAGGAAATAATGATACAGCTCCAAATGCAGGATCATTATCCAAAGCTTTGAGTGGCTTCCAGAATAATGGATTCCCAAATCCTGGCTCTCTGTACCACTAACCCGCTGTTCTGGTATGTTTCCCAGGTTCCCAAGACAATTAACGATCTATGCAGATTCTGTGTAATGAGCTTGATTTGGGATATTACACCCTGAGCTCTGCACAGTATTCTGGACATACAGAGAGATATGTTGTGATGTAACTCTCCAAAGACACAGGGTTCTTGGATTTTTTACTTTTTACATTTTTTAGCGTTGGAAAGTTTGCCAACTGAACTTGCTTTTGACAGCGTGAGTGTGGGTTCCCTCAATTCATCATGGGAATGTTTAAAGAAGGTCGTGGGAGATCCTACAGCGAGAACGCCAAACTGAACGCCCACTCTATCTGGGCTCATTAGACACTCAAATCATCTGGACACAGTTAATGAAGAGAGTGTGAAGTGGCTGGCACACAGTCATCAAGTAACTAACACAGCCTTCGGGATAGTTCAGTGATTGTGGTTTCAACTTCATTACCTTACAGACATTGGTTCAATCCAATAATGGTCATCAAGTCCTTTCACCGTCCAAAGTCAATGAAACGAATACCAGTGAGTTGGGTAATACTAACAGAATACATCCAGGATGTTAATGGAATCTAATGAATGTTAAATGATCCCCTTCCAGTATTAAATCATTGCTCCAACCAAAAACTAGTGTTTTCATAATATAATGGTTTTGGTTAGTGTAAAATTAGAGGAGGTCAGGGAGGGCACGCTGAAGGGAGGACATGGCCAGCACGGGGGGGGGGGGAGGTGCTTTGTGCCACCATTGGCTATTTGGCACCAGTATGCATACAGAGTCCAGGAACCATGACCACTACAAATCAATTAAGTGGTCATTGTACTTGGAGTAACCTTCTAATATATTTACATAATACCCTGATATTATTATACTACCATTTATTATTATTTATTAAAAACAGGCAATGTTGTCATCATTGCAGCCAAGACGTCACATTTCATTTCAGAGTGGTTACATTTAAAGTTCTGGATAATTGTCCAATTCAGTCATATTAAATTAAATACTGGGACTAAACAGAGAATCGAAAGGTTTGTGTGTTCTCAATGTTTGATATGTGATATAAATTGATTTATTTATTGTATAGGAAAGCGGGTAACGATCGATAATGAGATATATTAGCAACATTGACAGGTGGGATATTAGAACACAATGTAAACTACAACTGAAAAGAGATTTATTGATGAGAGCCAGAGGGGATATGAATTACTAACTCAGCCGCAAGGAAAATGTTCTTTAAAAAATACACATCAATAACAGTTTTAACACCATGCTATTCCGGGACTCAGTCAGTGTAGGCAGAAGGAGCGAGATCCCAATGTAACCAGCTTTTCTCTTCAAAATACATCATTTGGAGTATTCGCCAAAACGGAAATGAAATCAATTGGCAAGACCCGGCCAGTGACATCGGATTTGGGAAAAATGTTTAACTTGGTTATAGTTCCAACTGGGTTATTCTACTCAGAATTCCTATTATCCAACACTGGGCATGGACAAAGGGGGACACTTTAATTTTAGGGGAATGAGTGGGGGTATGGCCAGGAGAGGGGCGGTCCTGAGACATTTTAGGTGATTAAAAACAATTTCTGCAACTAAAATGTAATTTAGAACAAGAACAATGTATCTTTACACAGACTGATTTCTAAACGCAATTATTGTAGTTTTAAGACACATTACTGGGAGTATTATTGCTGTGGAGCTCTGTTATACACTCAGACACATTACTGGGAGTATTATTGCTGTGGAGCTCTGTTATGCACTCAGACACATTACTGGGAGTATTATTGCTGTGGAGCTCTGTTATACACTCAGACACATTACTGGGAGTATTATTGCTGTGGAGCTCTGTTATACACTCAGACACATTACTGGGAGTATTATTGCTGTGGAGCTCTGTTATACACTCAGACACATTACTGGGAGTATTATTGCTGTGGAGCTCTGTTATACACTCAGACACATTACTGGGAGTATTATTGCTGTGGAGCTCTGTTATACACTCAGACACATTACTGGGAGTATTATTGCTGTGGAGCTCTGTTATACACTCAGACACATTACTGGGAGTATTATTGCTGTGGAGCTCTGTTATACACTCAGACACATTACTGGGAGTATTATTGCTGTGGAGCTCTGTTATACACTCAGACACATTACTGGGAGTATTATTGCTGTGGGGCTCTGTTATACACTCAGACACATTACTGGGAGTATTATTGCTGTGGAGCTCTGTTATACACTCAGACACATTACTGGGAGTATTATTGCTGTGGAGCTCTGTTATACACTCAGACACATTACTGGGAGTATTATTGCTGTGGAGCTCTGTTATACACTCACACACACATTACTGGGAGTATTATTGCTGTGGAGCTCTGTTATACACTCAGACACATTACTGGGAGTATTATTGCTGTGGAGCTCTGTTATACACTCACACATTACTGGGAGTATTATTTCTGTGGAGCTCTGTTATACACTCAGACACATTACTGGGAGTATTATTGCTGTGGAGCTCTGTTATACACTCAGACACATTACTGGGAGTATTATTGCTGTGGGAGCTCTGTTATACACTCACACATTACTGGGAGTATTATTGCTGTGGAGCTCTGTTATACACTCAGACACATTACTGGGAGTATTATTGCTGTGGAGATCTGTTATACACTCAGACACATTACTGGGAGTATTATTGCTGTGGAGATCTGTTATACACTCAGACACATTACTGGGAGTATTATTGCTGTGGAGCTCTGTTATACACTCACACACATTACTGGGAGTATTATTACTGTTGAGCTCTGTTATACACTCAGAGACATTACTGGGAGTATTATTGCTGTGGAGCTCTGTTATACACTCAGACACATTACTGGGAGTATTATTGCTGTGGAGCTCTGTTATACACTCAGACACATTACTGGGAGTTTTATTGCTGTGGGGTTCTGTTATACACTCACACATTACGGGGAGTATTATTGCTGTGGAGCTCTGTTATACACTCACACATTACTGGGAGTATTATTGCTGTGGAGCTCTGTTATACACTCACACATTACTGGGAGTATTATTGCTGTGGAGCTCTGTTATACACTCAGACACATTACTGGGAGTATTATTCCTTGGAGCTCTGTTATACACTCAGACACATTACTGGGAGTATTATTGCTGTGGAGCTCTGTTATACACTCAGACACATTACTGGGAGTATTATTACTGTGAAGCTCTGTTATACACTCAGAAACATCACTGGGAGTATTATTGCTGTGGAGCTCTGTTATACACACAGACATTACTGGGAGTATTATTGCTGTGGAGCTTTGATACACACTCAGAAACATCACTGGGAGTATTATTGCTGTGGAGCTCTGTTATAAAAATACATCTCTCGGCTGGATACATGTAAAAGATAAAATCTCGTCTGTAAACAGCTGACATTTTGTTCCCCGGGAGGAAGTCAGTAAAGTAATAAAAAGTCACCAGAAGTGTCCTATAATCGCCATCCTAAACTACACGCTCCATATCACTGACGGAATTTGAAATAAATTAATTAACTTTAAACACCGTACGTACAGCAATCAGAAGATCTATGGAGATATAAGTTGGAACAATGAAGCAGTCCGTCATTGAAAGCTCTTACAAGCACTTATGTATAGCACAGATGACTACCCAGAATGCCTTGCAGTACTTGTTTTAAAATATTTATGTGGGCTATTATCAAGTCCCATCTGCTTTGATCAGAGATCAGAAAAGGATATATCTCTCTGCTCTAAAAAAGGCACAAAACGTTCTTCCCATAGAAAACCATTCAACTAACAAAAATAATGCCACATTAATTTTTAATTTGACTGTTGTGTTTCCAAGCTGTAGAAATTGTTAAAGCGGTCCATAACGCACTGCCACTAACAAAGACAGCAGTACGTGTGTTGCTTGCTTTTTTTGCAAATTGCTCTCCTTTTCTGTGAGCGGGTTGTGAGCCTTTAGGGCAAGCAGATTTATCTGCAAGTTAGCAAGTCACAAGCTCATTAATTATATGTCGCCTCGATCCCATTAATCCCATCATGGGATATGTTTAGAGGGGTGTTAGGAGAAAAGCGAATTCGAAAAATTAGGAGGGATGAGATACCATTGTAATACAATTTTGGCACAGGGCCTCTGCAGCTCCCATTTCTCTAAGTCAATTAGAAAAATGTGAAACCTCACAATTTAGCGATAAAATCCAGATCCTGGATGTGTATAATTTCTTCATGTTGATGCCCCCTTGTAAATAGGATTCATATGCTGCATATATCTGGAAATCCATTATGCAATCCTTTAAGAGTCTTAAAGGAACTACCTTGAATAATGAATGGACTGAGTTATTTCCCTCTCGCAGGATAGGAATTTTACATTAATGTTGAAGAACACAGAGAGAGCCACCGTCCATGAGAAAACATGATGGGGCTTGTAGTCCAATTCAATCTCAATATATTGTTATTATTTTAATTAATCTGTAGTAAAGACCCTCTTATAAGGAAGCTGAATACAAAATATGACACAAATAAAATATATGGTCTTTTCAGGTATCCAACTGGAGGACGATTAAATGGGCCAAGATTTATCAATATTAGGGAGTTTTCTCTCGTCCGTCACAGCATGCTTTATTTATATGATAACCGACGCTTTAAATTTACAAAAGAAATAATTATTTTATTAAACAAAAAAGTAATATCCTCTAAAGAGACAGAGAAATAATGCAGGTGGCTCTGAAGGTAGCGGACAATCAGATTATTCACGCAGATAGAGCAACGTCTGCCTTTTGTGAGGAATATAACATTCTGATTTCGGAGATTCTGCATGGAAACCTCAAATTACGGAGTGCCAACCATAACGGCAACTTCATTACACACACCACGGGCTCACACCATCTTCCAAACACAATAACAAAGTAAAAGTCTTTCTGGATCTTCCATTCCCAGCTACCATATACAGTATCTCACACCCCTCACATTTTATTATATTTTTTTCATGTGAATCAATAAACTGCAATCTATAAGTAAGGCAGTGGCTGAGTGACAGGCAACAGAGGGTTGTAGTTAATGGAGTATATTTGAAGCATCAGTGGGGTACCTCAGGGATCTGTACTTGGACCCATTCTCTTTAATATTTTTATTAGTGATATTGCAGAAGGTCTTGATGGTAAGGTATGTCTTTTGCTGATGATACTAAGATATGTAACAGGGTTGATGTTCCAGGAGGGATAAGCCAAATGACAAATGATTTAGGTAAACTAGAAAAATGGTCAGAATTGTGGTAACTGACATTTAATGTGGATAAGTGCAAGATAATGCATCTTGGACGTAAAAACCCAAGGGCAGAGTACAGAATATTTGATAGAGTCCTAACCTCAACATCTGAGGAAAGGGATTTAGGGTGATTATTTCTGATGACTTAAAGGTAGGCAGACAATGTAATAGAGTAGCAGGAAATGCTAGCAGAATGCTTGGTTGTATAGGGAGAGGTATTAGCAGTAGAAAGAGGGAAGTGCTCATGCCATTGTAAAGAACACTGGTGAGACCTCACTTGGAGTATTGTACGCAGTACTGGGACCGAATCTCTAGAAGGATACTTGGGAGATAGTTCAGAGAAGGGCTACTAAACTGGTTCATGGATTGCAGGATAAAACTTACCAGGAAAGGTTAAAGAAACTTAACATGTATAGCTTGGAGGAAAGACGAGACAGGGGGGATATGATAGAAACATTTAAATACATAAAGGGAATCGACACAGTAAAGGAGGAGACTATATTTAAAAGAAGAAAAACTACCGCAAAAAGAGTACATAGTCTTAGAAGGGCAAAGGTTTAAAAATAATATCAGGAAGTATTACTTTACTGAGAGGGTAATGGATGCATGGAATGGCCTTCCAGCTGAAGTGGTAGAGGTTAAAAGTAAAAGAGTTTAAGCATGCGTGGGATAGGCATAAGGCTATCCTAACTATAAGATAAGGCCAGGGACTAATGAAAGTATTTAGAAAATTGGGCAGACTAGATGGGCCGAATGTTTGCAACAAAAGTGAGTACACCCCTAAGTGTAAATGTCCAAATTGGGCCCAAAGTGTCAATATTTTGTGTGGCCACCATTATTTTTCAGCGCTGCCTTAACCCTCATGGGCATGGAGTTCACCAGAGCTTCACAGGTTGCCACTGGAGTCCTCTTCCACTCCTCCATGATGACATCACAGAGATGTTGAGAGACCTTGCGCTCCCACACCTTCTGTTTGAGAATGCCCCACAGATGCTCAATAGGGTTTAGGTCTGGAGACATGCATGGCCAGTCCATCATCTTTACCTTCAGCTTATTTAGCAAGGCAGTAGTCGTCTTGGAGGTGTGTTTGGGGTCGTTATCATGTTGGAATACTGCCTTGCTGCCCAGTCTCTGAAGGAAGGGGATCATGCTCTGCTTCAGTATGTCACAGTACATGTTGGCATTCATGGTTCCCTTAATGAACTGTAGCTCCCCAGTGCCAGCAGCACTCATGCAGGCCCAGACCATGACACTCCCACCACCATGCTTGACTGTAGGCAAGACACACTTGTCTTTGTAATCTTCACCTGGTTGCCGCCTCACACGCTTGACACCATCTGAACCTTGGTCTCATCGGGCCACAGAACATGGTTCCAGTAATCCATGTCCTTGGTCTGTTTGTCTTCAGCAAACTAATTGCAAGCGTTCTTGTGCATCATCTTTAGAAGAGGATTTCTTCTGGGATGACAGCCATGCAGACCAATTTGATGCAGTGTGCAGCGTATGGTCTGAGCACTAACAGGCTGACCCCCCCACCCCTTCAACCTCTGCAGCAATGCTGGCAGCACTCATACGTCTATTTCAGAAAGACAACCTCTGGATATGACGCTGAGCATGTGCACTCAACTTCTTTGGTCGACCATAGCTGCAGCTCAGTTTCAGGCTCTTCGCATTCTTCTAATAGCCTAGGCCATCTTTATGTAGAGCAACAATTCTTTTATTCAGATCCTCAGAGAGTTCTTTGCCATGAGGTACCATGTTGAACTTCCAGTGGCCAGTATTAGAGAGTGTGAGAGCGATAACACCAAATTTAACACACCTCCCTATTCATACCTGAGACCTCGTAACACTAAGGAGTCACATGACACCGGGGAGGGGAAATGGCTAATTGGGCCAAATTTGGACATTTCCACTTAGTGGTGTACTCACTTTTGTTGCCAACGGTTTAGACATTAATGGCTGTGTATGGGGTTACTTTGAGGGGACAGCAAATTTACACTGTTATACAAGCTGTACACTTACTACTTTAAATTGTAGCAGAGTGTTATTTTTGATGGCCAATAGATTATCTTGCAGGTAGAGAGGGCAAATCAGCGTCATAGGAGGATGTATTCCATATCATGGCTTCACCAGAATAAAAAATCTACTTTATACATATTGTCACAGGTTCGCTAGTCTGTTGCAGTTATTCCTTCAATCCTCCACTAGTCCTAATTCCAGATGTGCGGAATATGGTGATAATACTATCGTTGTGTAGAGTTTCCCCAATATAATGGACGCAACCAGTCGTATTGGGTAAAAGCAGCAATCTGATCTTGGTACTAGTGGGCCACACCTGAGCTTAGTTGTAGTAGGCCACACCTGAGCTTAGTAGTAGTAGGCCACACCTGAGCTTAGTAGTAGTAGGCCACACCTGGCTTTTTATACAGTGCCCCTAGCATCGGGTTTCTAAGACAAAATCACAGGGGTTTACTTCCCACAAGCCATTGTGTTTAAGAGATAATGGAGCTCAAATTAAGATAACTCAATCATCTCTCAAATAGGAAAATTTGCATACAATTTTTTCATATCACGAAAACATATCCAAAAAGCACTCAGATCGGTTCGGTAGAACGTGAGTTAGGTTCGAAAAAAGTTTTGACCGACCAGCCATGAGGTGGTAGCCCATGCAGACTGTGTGGGCAATAGATGGGTAGCATTCAGGAGGGGAGAGGCAGACTGTGTGGGCATTAGATGGGCAGCATACAGGGGGGAGAGGCAGACTGTGTGGGCCTTAGATGGGCAGCATACAGGGGGTAAATGCAGACTGTGTGGGTAATAGATGGGCAGCATACAGTGGGGAGAGGCAGACTGTGTGGGCATTAGATGGGCAGCATACAGGAGGGGAGGGACAGACTGTGTGGGTAATAGATGGGCAGCATACAGGGGGGAGAGGCAGACGGTGTGGGGGTAATAGATGGGCAGCATTACAGGAGGGGAGAGGCAGACGGTGTGGGTAATAGATGCGCGCTACAGTGGGGAGAGGCAGACTGTGGGCATTAGATGGCAGTATACAGGAGGGGAGAGGCAGACTGTGGGCATTAGATGGGTGCATACAGGAGGGAGGTGAAATCAGGTGGGCATGATGGGCAGCATACAGGAGGGGAGAGAGGCAGACTGTGTGGGCATTAGATGGGCAGCATGCTGGGAGAGGCAGACTAGGTGGGCATTAGATGGGCAGCATACAGAAGGGGAGAGGCAGACTGTGTAATAGATGGGCAGCATACAGGGAGGAGGAGGGCTGAGATCAGTGGGCATTAGATGGCAGCAGCATACAGGGAGAGGCAGACTGTGTGGGTAATAGATGGCAGCATATGCAGGAGGATGACCGCGCTGATACAGGAAGGAACGTGCGTGTACTGATGCGCAGAGGAGGAGGCACTGCAACATGGCAGACTGTGCAACAGAAGGCACGCAGGAGGAGTAACAGCACCGTGCACAGACAGCGGCGAAGTGAGGTGACCGTGCAAGGACGTACGCAGTGGGAGAGGCAGATCAGGTGGGCATGATGGACAGCATACAGGAGGGGAGAGGCAGACTGTGTGGGTAAGATAAGCAGTATACAGGGAGAGCGGCACGTGGGCATGATGGGCGCATTACAGGGGAGAGGCAGACTGCGGGGTAATAGATTGGCAGCACAAAGAGAGGCATTAGATGGGCACCAGAGGGGAGAGGCAGAGTGTGTGGGCATTAGATGGGCAGCATACAGGGGGGAGAGGCAGACTGTGTGGGTAATAGATTGGCAGCATACAGGGGGGAGAGGCAGACTGTGTGGGCATTAGATGGGCACCATACAGAGGGGAGAGGCAGAGTGTGTGGGCATTAGATGGGCAGCATACAGTGGGGGAGAGGCAGACTGTGTGGGCATTAGATGGGCAGCATACAGTGGGGGAGAGGCAGACTGTGTGGGCATTAGATGGGCACCATACAGAGGGGAGAGGCAGAGTGTGTGGGCATTAGATGGGCAGCATACAGTGGGGAGAGGCAGACTGTGTGGGCATTAGATGAGCATCATACAGCGGGAGAGGCAGACTGTAGATGGCCTTATCTGCCATCTAGCTAACACAGTGTTTAAAGTTACCTCCTCCACATTAAATACTACAAACTCGAGATCTGTCATTGACACTCTACACTGACCTCAGACAGACAGAGAAGCTCAGGTAAAGCCCAAGAGAAAGGAGACGCTCAGGTAAAACCATGTGACCTTCTCGCAGGGAATTTCTCAATGTTCTCTACATGCCCTCTGAGCAGTGACAATATACCATACTGTACCAATGGGATGAATTATATAAATAACTATCCACAAAATAACTAAATCTGCATTGACTATAAAACGTAACATTTAAATGTAAGATATCGGTAACAGGATGTTTATCAAAGTATCACTGACACTTGGTAAACTTTTCATGAATTTGTAGCACAATAAATCTGCCAGATTAGTTTGTATCTGTTCCTTTAATTGCTCCCTAACCATCATTACTGAACATGTGCCGTTTTTTTAAGCAGCACAAGGAATATATGATTATATCCACCGCTTATTCTGACAGAAAGTGGCTGAATTTCTTTCAAGCACTCTAAATTTTGACAACTGCTGCAAATTACTACAAAGAAAACCATCACTTTTTTAGATGATTTTAATGAATACGATGAAAAGAATGATGGAGTTTGACAACCCCTTTTCAGAACACTTTGTTTAATAAAGTATTGCAGTTTCGTTATTTAACAGACATTCTGCGATGCTCACTCGGAACACAGGATGTGCGAGTTAGCATTCTGGGAATGAAGAGACGCTCTGCCATATTTACTGACAATCTACTTGCGCTGTACCTGCTTTCTGCTTCATGGAATAAGCCAGGCAGTCTGTGTGCAGTTGATCTCTTTTTATCCCAACACGCAGAGCGGATGACTCATACGCTGCAGCACAAAACAGATATAATGTCATGCCATTTCTCCACGTGGACCAAGAACAGGGGACACGTGACATGAACAGCAGAAAAGCAACGATTGGTTGACCCTTTAATAGATTGCTGAAGGCCTTCCACAGCACATTGCACGGAATCAGACAGACATCGAACAATTGCCAATTATTTCCATTCAATGCTTACGAAACATGTGCGTGCCTTTCTTTAGACTATTACTCCCTACTAATAACCTACATAGTGGTTATGGTACCAGGAGTGATGCCGAGAGTGCCAACTTTCAGTTATTGAGCCATTTGACAAACTCTAATAATATACCCAAGGTCCAACAATCCAATTTGCTACCAGCCAGTAGAAATTCACCCCTGGTAAGTGCGTATGGGCCATCCAGGCTTGCAGTGGCTAGTAACTTTTTAAAGCCTGGCTAGCTGCGCTGACATTGTAAGCCTTGAATTAGAGCCGCAGACTAGGAACATGCATTGTCAAAGGGAATGAAGTGCACTTCTGTATAAAGAATTTCACTTTGATTAAGGTTTCTATAGCATCTGCTGGTTACCATGGAGATAATGTCTAGTAATAATTTGCGAGACATTCTCTGTATATTACAATATCCCCACAGGAGCCAATAAAACATCATATAAATCTAATCAGAGGGGCCAAGGACTGCTGGTGTCTATATGAAGGTCTATAGAATTTCTGTTTATTTGTTAATAATGGTGTTTATAAAAGACCTTGTTTAGTAGGTAAGCTATTCAAACATGATGAATTAAACACAGGATTTGAGTAAAAACACAGAATGTGGACTTTCTTTTCAGTAAACTTTCTCGGACTCTTGATATTGGAAATGTTTTAAAGTGACGCTTAACCAGACTGCCTGGGGAGCCGATAAAGATCAGCTGTATTGTAGATTAATATATAAATATTCATATAGCGTCATATAGCGTCAACATATTCTACAGCGCAGTACAATAGTAAACCAGACAAACATTTCCTTCTAACAAATCATGTTTCACACAGTAGGAGAAGACGGTGCTGCCCAAACAAGCTTACAACCCAAAGGGATGAGGGACAAATATGCAAAGGGGAGTAAGGGAATCAAGTGATTTGAATGTACCAGAGGGTTGGAGTGGTGTTTGAGAGAAGGGAGCAATTAGAGGAATACCAATCCCCAAATCCATACCTATCCAGGCATGCTACTAGTTACAAATAAAAATAGTACACCATGAGTCCAACGCATCCCGTACAGGGACAGAACAAACACCCAATGCAAGTGCAGACACTGAGCGATGGAATTTACTTGCCTTTTGGAGACGTTGTCAGGCATTTTCCATCGCTGGATTCTGTTAGTCCCTGAATACAAGGACCACATACATCGGACCCACTGGGACAGTGTTCTCTCATCTGCAGAGTACAATCAATCGTTCGACAATGGTCACCTGGAAAACAAAAAGTTAGAAAAATGGTGAGATCCTGGTGGGCATCAGGGCTCAAGCTGGCACATCAATCACCAATAGTAGAATAGTCAATGTTCAGAAGAAAAAAGTTAGAACCCAATTTAGAGTTACGCAAAGCTCGCAATGAAGGCCAGTTTGGATGAAACGGAGCTATCCTGCCAGCAACCAATCAGCACCTGAGATTCTGATATCTGAACATATCTGAACATCTCCCAGAATTACACTGTGCAGGTAATGGACAACAAAAATGCCTTGCTAGTTTTAAATCTAATCTTTTTATTAAATTAATTAATAATAAAATAAAAAAAAGTGACAAAGTTAAAAAGTATTTAAACACAGGCTTGTGATTGAAAAGGGGAAAACAAATATACAGGCACAGACAAACATACACCAAGAGCGGGTCAATGATTATAATGATTAATATTACTGGGACTTATCGATCTGCCTATTGATACATTTCCACCTACTTCTGGGTAATAACAATTCAACAAGCTCAGCTAACGAGCGCTCTTTCCACCCACGCCTGCGGCATTTCTTCTTCTTGTTGTTTTAGTGCGGGCACATTGCCGATACAATAAATTAGACCGACTCCTCAGCTAACATCTGTCTTGTTTCTATTTAAATGACGTGTACCTGTCAGCTTGGCGAAGATGCAAACACAAGAAGAGGTGCCCACAGCACTGGCAGTTGGACCGTTTCCAGGAGGGTTTTTTTAACCCCTTTCTTACAATTCACTGAGCACACTGGGTCAGAAACTCCATGATCAAAAGAGTAAACATTCTTAAACAATCGCATAAAAGGGGATTCATGTCCTATTCCCCTCCTTGAGACATTCTGCAGAATGGGATCTTTACAGTATTTTTTATGCAGCTACATTTTAAAAAAAGGTAAAGCTAAAATGCTAGGCAATCTGATATAATCAAATGTATTCACAGATGGACTGGAGAACTAGCCTCTGAAGCTCTCTCGTGCAAATATTTTTCTAGAGATTATGAATTCTTATTTTAACAAACTCCTTTTCTTTTCTGCACATTAATGTGACCAGATGCCCTGTTTGTTAAACTCAGCTACCTTGTACAAACTGTGTTTCATATTGCTTCTGACATTTCTCCTTTGTACACCAATGTACAGAACTGTTTGGATTGCAGAATCCATTATATGGGGATTGTTGGCTTAGTTTACACCAATACAAAGGAGGCATGTTTGCATCAGTCTATATGCATGTTGTCAAAGTACGCTGCCTTCTCCTATATATATATAAAAATCAGACTTATGGAAACGTCAAAAGAAAATAATGGAAGGCAGGGAATTGCATACCTGGCTCAGAACAAAGAACTAAAATATAAAATATTGGAACAGAAAAAACAAAATAGACCCAAAAACTTGTATTCAGGGGTTCCAGGGGAGTATAGCACAGTAAAACCCAATGCATTGACCATCCAATAGTAATTATAAAACATCACATCACCAATGAAAAGATTAAGAGGCTAAAGATATGCAGTGGAGACGTGGCAAAGAGACTCATTCATCCAACACCACCGAGACACTCCAAATGATCTGCTAATATGGGCATTTTAGATGCAGTTAATCGTATTACAGCGCACGTATTCCGAAGGCAGCAACACACACAGAGACACAAGCCGTGACGTGGCGTTGGATCCATAATTACGCCAACTTCCAGCAGCATGTAATAAACAAGTTAGAAGAATTAAACAGGTCTCGACCTATCCACGTGCTGACTCCAGCGTTTAATTAGTCGTTCCAGTCACAAGGCAGACAAAGGGAGGCTGGCTTTGTACCTTGTAATGCAGTATGACCGAGCTCCGCGCAGCAATCTGGGAGTGGTTCAAGAGTAAGACCCTTTTGCAGGAATACCTGTACCCATGTGACACAGTATAGGGTTTTAGAGTAGGTATTGTTCACAGGCCGTATTTGTCAACTTTAGTAACCAATCACCATACTATGCTCAATGCAAAATGGCTCAAATTTACTGGCCCAAAATTGCCAAACTTTAAGAAAAAATGAAAATACTGTAATAATGAAATCCTAAGACCCCTTTAGATATTATAAAATTATCTCCTGAACTAATGTACAGAATTTATTAAAACTTTGAATTGCAGAAAATAAATAGGTTGTGGCTCGGCGGCGATGTCCTGAAAAGCAGAATGTAAGACTCGGAAATGTGGTCTCCCACCAGGTGAGCGGTACAATATTGGGAATAGGTCATTCTGCAATACAATTCTAAGACAGGAACGGTCCACTGGTTTCCATGGTGACTGCTCCACATTTAACACTTTGTGACCGACAGACAGGGTCCACATTCAATGACAAAGAATGCAATGTGAATTCAAAGCAAATTTTTAATTTAAGGTCAAAATATACAAATTGGAAAAAAAATGTCCAGGGTTTTACATTGGCTCTTTTGCCTAAAATGTTTAATTCACAAAGATTTCCGTGCAATTCACACGACCCTATGGGTCAGATTAATTGGGAAGGGAAAACACTCTCAGATTTTATCCCAGCCACAATTAGAAGAATAGCCATATTGAAATGAGTTTGTGTAAATCCAACATATCTTGGCTAAACATATAGCAGCTGCCTAGAATAACCCCTTCTAGGGCTTTTAATGTGGAGCTAGATATTCCAGCACTTCAGAGGTTACTTGGATAACCGAGTGTGTATTGATTCTGCATATTGAATAGATTTCACAGAGGAGCAAAGCAATTCTGGATTTCTGTAATCAGACGATCCAGTTTGAAGGCTGTAGCTATGACACAGACAATATGGAGGTCACACAGCGTGTAATACTTGGAAGGAATCTCACTGGCGGAGGACCTTGAGTGAGAATGCATCCCAGCGGCCATGAGCAAATCACGAAGATGGCCAGCACAGATATCATATAGTGCCAGAGATACAGCCAGATGTACAATAACTGTGGGGGGACCTGCGTGCTTGTAGCGGGTTATTTTAGATTTCTCTGTGTAGTTTTGGTCTATAACAGAGCCGTATTATGGGCTGCTTCTAGAACCCCTGAAGAACAAACTAATAGATGTGTGATCAGAGGAATTATCTAC